AAAGAAAAAGAAAAAGAAGTATCAATATTGGAGAATGTCATGGGCAAAAGGTTTCAAAAAATGGCATTTTTTTACCATCCTTGAGGGGTGTATGTTCTAAAATGAGCATCATCTGCAAACTTTACAGCTGAAATGTGTGTGCAAGTTTTAAAGCTAAAAAGAAGGCAAGAAACTATCTTTTTTATCCTTCCACCAAGTAAAAATACAACTCTGTTGTATCTGTTGATAGAAAAATATATGTTCATGACCAGCATAAGAGAACTTGGTTCTCATAAGATTCTGTCTTTGAGAGCAATTGTTGTGATTCATGGAAAAATCTTAAAGGGTCTGGGACAGGAAATTTAGTACTCATCTTCATATTGAATAAGTCCTTTCAGGTTTTCTCCAGCATGTTAGACTGTCACCTCATGTGCACATCACAGCATGTGCACATCTCTATACTAAATTGAAGGGAGTTCAGTGTGTAATTCCTTTACAAAAGTAATTGTACTGTACCACAGTCAAACTTGAGCAGAATACTGGCATTTTATCAAGTTATATATACAGAATAATGAGATTCAGTGAAAAAATACAAATTACTGTCTTTGACAGGATGGATGATATTCAAAGTGTATGAAAAGTGGAGTTAAATGTGAAAGCCTTGGTTCTTGATACTGCAGCTAGCTTGGAAACTTGGACAGAACATTGTGAAAAGCAGCTATGGCTTGGCTCTTTAGTCAGTTAACTACATAAATGCCCATGGACTATGTTTCCATATTTCACACGTACTTTAGCTACAGCTCATGATAAACACAGAAAGCCAAAGGAAAGCTGTAAAGCACAGGTTGGCAGAAAAAATACTTGCTAGAGTAACTGATGAAAAGGCTGAATGTTATCTGGCTAAAGCACCAACTTCTCAGTTTCTGTTTCTGCTATCTTATTGGTGAGTTGCAAAGTTCTGATTTGAAATGTGAAGATGAAAGTTGTAGAAAATCCTGGTGCTAGATCATCAATACTAGCAATAAACTAATATCCAGGAAGAGAGCAAAAGGTAGTGGTGTATGTTGGGTTGACCCTGGCTGGATGTCATGTACCAAATAAACCAACTCTATCACTCCCCTCTACACCTGGACAGGTGAGAGAAAATGAAATAAAAGGCTTATGAGATGAGATGAGGACAGCAGCCAGAGATCACTCACCAATTGTCATAATGGGCAAAGCAGGTTCGAATTGGGGAAATTAATTGACCTTATTAACAATCAAAATCAGAGCAGCATAATGAGAAGTAGAGCAAATCTTAAAACCCTCACTCCTTCCTCCTGCCCAACTCTACCTCCTCCCCCACAGTGGCTCAGGGAGGCAGGGAATGGGGGTTAGGTCAGTTCATCACAGGCTGTTTCTGCAACTGCTCAGGGAGAGGAGTCCTTCCCCTGCTCAGTGTGGGGTCCCTCCCACAGCAGACAGTTCACCATGAACTGCTCCAGTGTGAGACAATCCTTCCAAGAGTTACTGTAAAGCACTCCCAGGGGTGCACTTGTGCATGAGTGTTGATCATGGGCATGGGTAGAAGTGTAAAAGTAGCATTGCTCATATAGCATATTTAGGACTCATATAGCATGTATGGCTTGAGTGATAGTAAATGCATTGGTTATAATTCCATTCAGATTTATTCCCGAGGGAATACTTTAGTATTCTGAAAAGTTATATACTTCATGTGTAAAGGGACTGATAGCCTTTGTAAGAGAGTATCTATTTATACACAAATGCAGTAAATTTGAGCATTGTACATTGCAATAAAAGAATAGGAAGTGGGACTATTTCTTGCTTGAATTATATACCACATGGTATTTATTGACACTATAGTTGCCGGAACACTTTTATTCCAGCCTCCAAGATTTCCACATAAATGAAGAACAAAGTCAAACATTCAGGGAGAAAAGAGGAATAGAGGTTTTAGGTAAGCTAGTCCAATAAAATATTAACATACATTAATGTATCTAAAGCTTCACACACAGTGCATTAATTGAATAGTTACCTAATTAAGCCATAAGAAATGGCAAATACGGGGAGCAGATGTTTATAAATCATTGGAGAAACAGGAATTTTTTTGTCATTTTCTAAGCAACATTAACCTCCTTTTCTATATAAAGTTACAGGGCCAGGATTGAAAAATCCTGTTGCCAAATATTTTACATCTTTTGGAAGCAGACAAGCAGAGATGTTGTAATACCAGACTTTATCAGAATGTGGTGACTTTAATTGTAGATTGGGCCTTGTGCACCTGTCAAGGCTTGCTGTCTTTCTCATGTGGAAATACAGATATGAGGGAGGGTGAAGTAAAGGAAACCCAGCATAAACCAGTCTCACTTCACCTTGTGCACCATAGGGTATGCATGTGAGCTCTGCATTTGGTGTTTGGTAGAGCACCTGCGTTTACTCATAACTCCTCTGGCATTAACAAAATAGCAAAGCATCTCTTCACATATGCAGAACCCAAATTTATTTTAAAATCTGCCACAGGGTACTTGTTTACAAAGCATGTTTGCATGACCTGTAGGTCTTGATTTTTTCAAATGAGTTTTGAAGGGCTGTGAAAAAGAGGGGGCTGGCCATGTCTCTATTCTGCTACACTCAGTATTTTTGGTATTTCCTACCCACTAAATGCCTGAAGCTGGAAAAGGCTGATATCTTCTTTCCTAGTAGTGATCTCTTCCTAAAATTTGTAAACTTATAAATAACATATCTGAAGACAACAGGTTAGTCTGTAGAAAGGAAAGCTGGCTTTAATCTTTGAAGAATCTACATTCTGACTGAATGTAGAGTCAAGACTTATTTAAGAGTTCTTCTGGCACATTGCAGGAAGATCGTCTTCCTTCTGTGGTTTGAGACTGTCTCTTGAGGCACTAATCTTGCCCTTCAAAAGGGAACAACCCCCAGGGGAGAGCTTTGCAGTACCCTCCCCAAGTGAACTGAGCTCGGTCCCCACAGTCCTTGGGATGGGGAGAAGTCTCTGACTCTCCTTCCAGCCAGCAGGAAGTGCTGAATGTGACTGTAAATAAAAGAATCTTTCTGGGATTCCTAATGCCCCATGTGCTGTACAGAACCTTGGGCCTTAATTTAGCTCCAGGTTCCAAGGGAAACTGTCCCTAAGAAAGCTGCAAGCTAACACTAAAATAAACTACTGTATTGAAATATTAAATTTAAATGTTCAACTTTTAAATAGTTTGTGAGACTGGTGGAAGATCCCAGTATGTTCTGTGCTTTGTGAGTTGGCAGAAGTCTGTCTGTTTGTAGTTGAATCTTTTGTGTTTGTACACAATCAGCAAGTACATGGTGTGATGTTGTTTCTCTCTGGGATGCATGAGAAGTTTGTTATCTTTTTTGTAGCAAAACTAATAAATGTTTACAGACAAAATTGCACCATTTAAAATAAACTGCCTTAGTGTTACATCTTTCATTAGATCACTGCAGCTACTCTGTATACAAGTTCCCAGGCAGATATTTTTAGGAAAATGAAGATTCATTGTAAAAGTAATTATTTTCACTATTCTATATCAACATGCAATTGAGAAATAAAAGAAAACTACTATCATGGTCAGATTGTCCTGTGAGACAAGTATTATTTCACCAATGGAAAAATTTAGTATTCTGTTATTATCCCTGTAAATATATTCTGAAATTATCTCAAAATAACCTAATTGTTAGAGAATTTGATGACACATTCAGAGCAATGTGAGCTATTGAGAAAATATTAATTTCCTTTTAAATCCTAAATTGATCTGTCTCATTGTTCAGGCTGTAGTCCAGACCAACCTTAAAAACCCATTATCTTTCCCTTCTTCTTT